TTATAGCTCAGCTCTTCTGCCTGTCCTCGCAGCACTTTCTTAAGGTTCATCCACTTCTGTTCTTCGCCTTGTGCTTCAGCTATCCGTCGGCGTCGTTCTCGTTGTATCTCTAAAGGGTCGGCATCGTCTGCATTAGGAACTGCCGCCGGCACAGTCGTGAGAGGATGGCTCGTGGGAGTCGTAGTGATCGAACCTTCGTTGGCGCTCTTACCGCGTTCTCCACTCTGCTTTTGAGCTTCTGAGGCCAGCTCCGAGTCTTCATCATCAAATCTGACTCTTTTCTTGGCTTTCGTTTGTTGCCGAGTCATCACCGCTATGTTGCCATTGTCACGTTCGTTTGAAGTGTCAACTTGCACGAAACTTTTGAAAGTTTTGTGTGGGCAAGCTTCGAAACTGGTTGGAACATGTACACAGGGCTCCAATTCACGCTGTGAGACTTCTGCCGTGTCTTCAATCGGCCCGTAGCTCACCTCTTGGATGCGATTCAGCGTCGCCAATTCCTCTTTACGAGTTTGTGCGAGCACTACCCGGCTGACCTTGGACTCCAAGGCTTCAGTAGCCAGCAAATCTGCAGCGGCGATGTATTCCCATGACCAAGGATGACACGGAGGTGATTCGTACAAAGTATGATAACCGCCTGTGGACCTTCAACGCACACAATATTGGAAGCAATGTTACGAATAAGAAGGGAGTAGCTGTTGAGAAGAATGTGTTCGCAAAATTTGCAGTTACTGATGGTGTTGAAGACATGGATGTGTGGCATGAGAGACTGGCACACACATGTCCGGAGTACATTCGACTAATGGTCGATCGTGGATTGGCCAAGGGCATCATGTTGAAGAGGCGGGGCAAGATTGATTGCGCTGATTGCCACATTGGCAAGCAACGCCGGAAGACATTCCGGAAGAGCCTCGACAGATCAATTGAGAGAGTGAACGACATGATCTCCGCGGACCTGTTGATCCCTGGAATGAGTAACGGCACACCGTCCTCTGCAGTATTAGTAGTAATGGATGGTTTCTCGCGGTACGTGAAGACCTATCTATTAAAGTCTCCCTCCGAGAGGTAAACCAACATCTGCAGAACTACATCGAGTGGAGCGTCAACATGGCCGTCGAGTAGGTACTGTGGTGACTCGACGACATGATGACGATAGTGAATATGAAAGTGGTGGTGGTCTAGTAAGGCAAGTACTTACCGACAAAGGGTTGGAGTGCTGCAACGGAACAATGGAGCGTTAGTACAAAAAGAAAGGCACTGTCCACACAAAAGTTGGACCCGCAGGAGGGCGAGGATGCAACGAGTGATTGCCTGCGTGACGACGAGTCGGTCGTTGCACATGAACACGATTTTGTTGCTGATTCTACTGAAAGTGGACAATCTGTTGCTGAAAACGGCGTTCCTGGCGAGGAACATGGCGTACACACAGACGAAATGTACAGAACAGCAGACGGCTCAGAAGAAGATCGTGATGAACACGTCAGCGTGAATGAACTCGC